AAGGATCGCCTCCTCGCGCCCTCGAGCTCCTCGGGGACGCGGAGGGCGTGCGGCGGCGCTCTGGGAAAGAGCTTGGAGAGCAGCGCCTCCTCCACGTTGCTGTGACGGCCAAAGGCGCGGGCGATTCCCAGCAGGCAGGGCACCGCGTACTTGCAGAGATACTCTGGAGAGAAGCAGACAGGATGACAGTGTGGGCGTGCCATGGGTGACAGAGGCTCGCAGCAGCCCCAGTGTCCCCCAGCTAACATTCCACGTACTTGCCGATCTGAAAGGAACAGAGTCAACCTAAGGGCTGACACCTGACGTTTCACTAACAGTCGTCACTAACAGTAACTTCCGACCGTATCCCCAGCACAGCCCCGCTCTCCTGGGGAGGCCTCGAGCCGACGTGTGGCCCATCACTAACAGTAACTTCCGACTGCATCCCCAGCACAGCCCCGCTCTCCTGGGGAGGCCTCGAGCCGACGTGTGGCCCATGCCATCCAGTGAACTCGCTGGGCTGCACCAACCTGGATCTGCCCTAACTTCAGATGATACACTGGGACCTACCAACACCCACTGACAATCTTACTAAACTGGAGGAAAAATGGCCTATGGTGCTCAAAGAATCTACCCAAGCATCTTCCTGTGTTTTTTCTGTGCCTGGGCATCAGAATGCTGCTGCTCCTGATTCCGTCCACAAAATAATGCCCGGAAAGGCCCCACGGCCCCGCACCCTCTCTTCCTGCTAGTCCCGTTAGCTGGCTAGATGGTGCCGTCAAAGGCTTTCTGCACCGAGTGGGGTGGGAGTCTCATCCTCTATTTTGGTTCTTTTTTATTTAATTTTTTATTTGAGTGACTGTTTCTTCTCCCTGCACCCATGTTTTATGTCTCCCCTCTAGTGAATGGTTTACCCTCCCTTCCCCTCCCACTGCCGGTCACTATCAGAGAATATTTCCTTGGGTATGACACCCTTTCCTTGATTTATGACAACAGTAGCATCCTATAGTATTTGTCCTTTCAGGATTAACTAACTTCACTCAGCATAATGGCCTCTAAGTGCATCCACGTTATGAGATATTTCACAGATTCATCGTTGTTCTTCAACCTGGCATAGTATGCCATGTGTATATGGACCACAGTTGGTGGATCCGTTCCTCTGTGGGTGGGCATCTATCCAGACATTTTATAGGTAAAGAAACTGAGGCCCAGAGGGGTCAAATTACTTGTCCAAGGTCACTCAGCATTCATGGGGGACAGCTGTGCTCCTGGGCCCCATGCAGGCTTACAGTATGCTAACACACAACACATGGAACGTAATAAGAAGTTTTCACCCATCACGAGCACATCTAATGGCAAAGAACAGAAAAGACAATGGGAGAAGCAAGGGAGAGAGGGACCACAATGTCAGTGGGGAAGAAATAAAGGAACGCCTTGCAAATCTATCGTCATACCTTTTTCTTGAATCTCCAAGGTCTGGCACATTCCCAAAAGGACACGCAAAACCTGCAGAAGGGCTTCTAAAATCTGTAACAGGAGAAATTGGAAGAAAACAAAAAACAAACTTATAAACAAACTCAGATACACAGCAAACAATTCACAATTCGAGGTAGCTTTAGGCATTACTTTGTGCAACCCCTACGTCTGATGCTTACGCCCCTTCTGCTACCACCACGCACGCAGGCCACCAGCTGACCTGCCAGGGGCAGGAGCCCTCCGGCCTCCAGTGTAGTCCAGTCCATCCCACCCCAGGGCTGCTACGGGGCTGCCCCTAACACTGGGCCAAGGTCGTGCTCCTGGGGCTGGCACCCACTGACTCTGGGGCCACACATGGCCAGTCCCCATCCTCCCCTGTATTCTGCAAACTGGCAAGAGGCTTCCAACCCTTCTCTTCTCATTGCTAAGTGTCTCCAGCTCCTTCCATCATTCCTTATGGCCAACTGCCTGCCACTGACTTCATCACAGCCCGTGTGTCCACTTCCGTCTTGCTGCAAGTGTGGTGCTCGGAGAAGATACAGGGATGCTCCTGGATGCTGTCACCTGCCCAGGGCAGTGACCTAACTCCTCGGGGACTCTCGATTTGTGTTTGCGCAACGTTAGCTTTTCAGCAGTCCCTTCACGTCGCTGGCTGAATGAGCTCACAGATAAATAAGATATGTCCAGGCTTTTTCAAATATGCTGCTCTCAAAAAACAAAATCCAAACTCTGCCATCAAGACATTCTGACTCACAGCGCCCCTAGAGGACAGAGTGGAACTGCCCCACAGGGTCTCCAAGGCTATCAGTCTTCACGGAAGCAAAGCTCACATGCACCCATTGCCATAGTCGATTCTGACTCACAGCGCCCCTAGAGGACGGAGCGGAACTGCACCACAGGGTCTCCAAGGCTGGAATCTTCACGGAAGCTGACGGTCTCATCCTTCCCCTGTGGAGTGGCTGGGGGTTTGAACCGCCACAGCTGGAGCTCCTGTATGCTGCTTGAGTAGGTCAGTTTGTCACTTATCATTTATCCCCATGAAAGCTCCGAGTATGGGCTTTTGCTCACTGGGCTAGCCTTAGACCCTAGCTTTGTCTTCCACCAACATGATCTTCATGGATGGCAGTGGCCGCGTTCATTTCAATGGTAGGGGTGGGCCCCCAAAGGCTTCTGCTGCCAGCACACCGGACACCCCCCCTCAGGGCAGTCCTTCAATACCTTCCCACACTCTGAATCGTTTCAGTCCTCAGCCCCTATGCATCCATACGTATATACATATGTATGTGTTTGTGTGTGTGTGTGTGTGTGTGTATATATATATATATATATATATATATATTTTGGCTCCTCCTTCCCCCAAGTTACTATGTGTCTCTTCTCTGGTTACTGGTTTCCCCTCCCTTTCTCTCCCACCCCTGGGAACCATCCATGACAGTGTTCAGAGTCAGCATTTGTTCTTTTGTGACTGACTGACTTCACTCAGCATGGTATCCTCTAGGTTCCTCCGTGTAGCGAGATGTCTCACAGATTCACTGTTGTTCCTTGTCGTGTAGTATCTCATCGCATGTATGGACCATGTTTGGCTGATCCATCCCTCCGTGGGTGAACATTCTGTAGGTTTTTTCCATCTTTTTCAGTTCACAGCATTGATCCAGGACATCAGATGGTGTGTTGGTCCAATGGCTTGGTGAGGGTCACCTGGACAACCAACATCACCTCCCTCAATGACCAGTGTCAGAAAACCCGGGCAGGGCAGAGAATGAAGGGAGTCCCACAGAGCTTGTGTGTAACCAAGTCATGTGTCCTACATTCGGTTAATGTTAAACTATGATGAGTGAGGTATGAAAGCCCCTGGAGATGCAGGAGCTCCTTGCAGTAAACCACCTGGCCTTCGGTCCTGGTTCCTGACTGTAGGACAGAACATGAGGCCATGAGTGGGGGCCGTCCCAACCAAGAGGGGCCAGCTGGGGGCCCGCCGAAGCCACAGGAGGCTGATGTTGCCCCACAGCCGTGGGGAAGAGGGGGGTTCAGCAGAGCTCTCTGGGGGGAGAGGGCAATCAGCCGCTCCCCGGAGGGCAAGGTGTCCCCTGGGAACGTGGGTGCTCTGCCGAGACCCTCCCACACCGCACCCTATGTGTCTCCAGCCCTTTTTACACTGGATTAAAGGCAGGCTTTCCCTGGAATCTGGGGGTGAGTACAGTAGACTGTTGGACAAAAGAAACAGAGAAAGGGCGAGTGCCTGATCACCCAGCGCCGGCTGAGCAGGTGGGTACGCACTGGTCTGGACTTGGGTGAGTGGGTGGGTGCCCACTGGCCTGGCCCAGGGGAAAAGAGGATGACAGAGAGAGGGTCATGCAGCCATCTGGGGCCTGAACTGTCCCAGGCAGGGAGGCTAGGGTTTCCATGGGATGCAGCTGGCGTGTGGAGTGGGGTCTGTCATCCACTACACTTCCAGTGTCACAGGTGGGTGAATGCATTCCAGGAGTGCTGTGACAGCATTGGTGGCCTTGGGGGACGCGCCTAAGCAGTCTGGCCTTTGTACTTATGAAGACCGGGAAAGCCCCGCCTTCTGCACTTCACAGGCACTGTTAAGTCATCATCTTCTGTGTTTCACTTCACTATGTTTTATTCCGGAAAAGTCCTTAACTTACAGACTATGAGCCTTTGTCATAACACACGTCAAACGTGTCTGGTAATCTCTTGAGCCAAACTACAAACACACAAGGAACATAAGTTAGAGAGGGACGAGGACAACTGTAAGGACAGAAATAGCGACAACGGATGCAAAAAGGGCCTGGGGCGACATCTTCTGCCCTCCTCCCACTTCCCAAGGGGCAAACTGAGTCACCAGCAGCAGCCCAAGGCTGATTCCTATGAGGTCAGACATGACACAGCCTTCCAACCTTTTTTTACCAACTTTGACACCGACTGTCCCTCCCACAGCACTCACTACTTCTGTGCTAATAATTCGCTGCATTGGCCGCACAGAACGCACAGTCAATACTCCCGATGATGGGCTTTATTAGGGAAGTAACAGTACAGCTGAGGTTCAGGAATGTGCTCAGGATCCAATTCTTCGACCAGGACAGTCTCCCCTACACCGTGCCCTTAGTCTCGCCTCTCTGGCCCCTGACCTCTCGGCCTGGCCCCTGCTCTGCTCAGGCAAGTGTTACAAAGCTCCTTTAGCTCTGCCAACAGGGGCACCCGGGTGCACCCCACTCTGCCAGCAAGCCCCCTGCCCCAGGGCACTCAGCTTTCGCGCTCCACGGGCCAGCAAGCCCCCTGCTCTGTCTCACGTCTCTCGGTTCCACTGCCGCCATCTCTCTACCACCCATCTCTCAGCTGGGG